ACACAATGGAAAATACTATGCAATTCTGAAGACTAATGATGAATCTGAGAAACACCTCATAACATGCATGAACCTGGAGGACATTATGCTGAGTGAAAGCAGTTAATTACTAAAGGACAAAGATGGTATGAGACCACTATTGTAAAAAAGTTGAGAATAGGTTTTCATGCTTAAAATAAACATTCTGTGATGGTTACCAAGGCTGAGAGAAAAGGTAGAATTATTCACAAGCTAGACTGAAGATACATGTTAACTTGGGTGACAGGGCAGGCAATATACAATGCCAGGGAGGCTGGAAGAAGACTGATGTAGGTAGGAGGAAACACAGGGAAGGGAGTGCAATAGTTAAAGGGAATAGAAGTAAATACTGTTAACTGAAGGTACATATTCTACTCATTAAAATAAAATGAAGCATATAATTTTGTTAACTAAAAAACCGATGAGCTGTTCCATAACCCTTAATGCACAATAAAAAGCTTTTTTTAAAAAAAGCCTGAAAAGAAAACTAGCATGCCTGAGACCAAAAGCAGTTGGACAAAGTCCCTAAATATTTTAACAGTAGTACCTTCTTTGGAATATAAAGGTAACAGCTTAAGGGGATTGCTTTGCAGAGAATGATAACCAATTTGTTGTTAGTTTTGTGGATTAAAAAAATAAACTTATGTAGTTTACATGTATGAGGGAGTATCAGAAAGTTCAAGGAGAAAGTCTGATATCGTATTCCATTTTTGCATAATCTTTTTGAAACTCCCTTATATATGTTAACTGAGTATTTAAAAACTATTATATAAATGGATTTAGCTATTGTAACTGAATTTGAGTACTGTGCAGTACAGTTCAGACTTGCTCAGGGAGTATCTGTGCCCAGTTATAATGGTATATGCTATGAAGGACTTGAGAAACCAGTATACAGTTTCATTTCAGTGCTGAGTTAGTAACAACTAATACACAGAAGGACTTCCTTATTAGTAAGGAAGACTGTAGAAGAATTGATGCATTGGAATTATGGTGTTGGAGAATATTATTGTCGTGGTGGGAAAACATTCCTGAGTGCGTCTTTCCTGGCCTTTTCCTTCCCAATGCAGTTTTCCGTTTTCTTAAAACTTCAAGGGTGGATTTTATAGTGTCATAATCATAGGTGAAGATTTTAACAACCCTCTCTCTGTAACTGATAGACCAGACACCGTTCAGTCAAGCTGTAGAATAATTGCTGTCCAATAGAAAGAGAATGCAAGCACGTATGTAAATTTAAATGTTCTAATAGCCAACCACGTTAAAAAAAAATTTTTTTTTTTAACCTTTATTTATAAAATCCCTCAGCCACTCAAAGCCCTCATTGTACGTATTGTTTTGTGGTCCCTAACAATGGACCCAGATATGATAGATGAAATCAGCAATCAAAAGTAGGGGACCAGCCCATGTGAGTGATAACTTCCGGTAATATTTTTTTGTAAAAATATATAAGCTGAGAATTAATAGACTGATAAAACCTGAGAAATCATTTAGTACTGTGTTCTTATTTTACAGTAACCAGCCGCATTTTAACAAGTAAAAAGAAATGTTAAGTGCCTTCCAGTTGGTTTCCCACTCGGTGACCATGTATAGAGTTTCCAACGAGTGGCTGATGGGTTTGAACTGTCGATCTTACGTTTAGCAATCCAGTACGTGTCCTACAGTGTCACACCAGAACTACAGTAAAAGAAATAGGGGGATTTTCATTTTTTTCTGTAACTTTTGGGAAAAATGTGTGTGTGATTACATATATAACAAGAGCAAAGCCAGTTTTAATTGTGCAGTTCAGGGCTGTTTGCTCACTCTCCATCACCGCTATCCACTGTCAGATGTTTGTCTCCAGTCAGAATTTTCTGACTCACCATCAACAGGCTTGGTCTGTTCTTGTTTTGTTTTGAAATGGTCAATTTAATTTAATGATACATTTTACTTAATCTAAAAAATATTATAATTTCAACCTGTAATTAATATGAAGAGCATTGATGTTTTACAATTCCTGTTTATGTACTAAGTCTTCAAAATCTAGTATGGGTCTTATACTTCTAGCATCTCAATTTGGACAAGCCACGTTTTAGGTGTTTACTAGCCACTTGTGGCTACTCGGTACCATACTGAACAGCAGAGATCTTTAACTGGTGGATATGTGTGGAACACAACTCAACAACTGCAAAACACACTCAAGTATGCATAGAGCCTGGGTACACCGGGATGGTGGTGGTTATGTGCCATAGAGTCGGAACCAACTTATAGCGACCCTGTAAAGGGTTTCCGAAGCTGTAAATCTTTACGGGAGCAGAAAGCCTCATCTTTCTCCCGCAGAACAGCTGGTAGTTTTGAACTGCTGACCTTAAGGTTCACAGTCCAATTTGTAACCACTACGCTACCAGAGTTCCTTGGGCAAACTGGGATACATGGCCATAAATCAGTCTCAAATCAAAAGGATTGAAACCACCGTATGTTTTGTGACCACATCAGAATTAAATTAAAAATCAATTAACAGTATTTTTCAGCCCCAAAGCTCATATTTCTGGAAATCAAACATTGAACATGTAAATAAGTTT